TATGATTATTAGTAGGAGTAGTAATAACACTATTATTATTACTATTATTATACGGGGACATTCGCAGTTTATACAATGACCTCTTTAAATATTTCCCCAAATTCGTTTTGTTTGAATATTAATTCTGTAGTTTTTTCTTTTTACAGATGCTGGTGACTCGCTCATGCCCGTCGGCCTGTTTGGAGAATGACCAGTTGATTGGAAAAACACCAAAAATTGTGCCTCTAAACCCCAAATAATCCCACAACACGATTTCCCCCCTCTGAACCCTTAATTAACGTACAAATAAGAGTTTGCATAGTTCGACCACACCACTGTGTGCTCAGCTCGACCCACTGCAGGCCAAGCGTTGCAGAAGGCCAGATCAAACCTGCGACGAGCTTCAGGTAACAAATCTGTCTCCCTCCCCCTCCACAAAAAAAATCGATAAAATCGAACAAACGTGTTAACGAAACGGAAAAAAACCCTAATCCGGATAGTTTTGTTTTATAGTTGCACAGCCTGAAATCGAAAAAGAAACGTTTATTAGATTAACATCCAGACGGTCAGGTGTTTTATCGGAGTGCCAGGTGTTCATTTTAGCGACTGAGCTCTAATCAAAAGCACTTTACATCTGAATTGCAAGAATGCGATACGCAAGCAAAATCAGATAAAAATAAATAAATGATTTATTTTTTTAAAAAACACACAAAAATGATATATCTGAACACAGAACATCTGTGGGAAATGAAAGATTTAAAAACAAACAAACAAACAAAAACAGTCCGATAAATCTGAAACTTCCTTTAATGCTTGTGAGTTAATTCATTCAAATTTTTCTTTTTTAATTCCTGCAATTAAATCACAATCATAGCTTCCCAATGAAAATCAAAATGCACCATAAAAGCCTTAATTATTGAATATAGTGGAATAATCACTGATAAGTTGTATTATAGTAAAAACAAAAAAATTCGATTCTCGTCGCAAAATAAGGTTTGAAATTCACTCATTAAAAACCAGAACCATGAACGCCACATAAAGGAAACCCACTAGTGTTTGTCTATTAATGTGGCTTAAATAATAATTCATTCTCTCTCCTCCTGATGCACCATATGTTTATTGCAGTTGACCTCGTTTCAGCAATTCCCATGCTTTTCTTACAATGCTGCGGAAAAAAATTAATTAATTAAAAAAAAAAAAAAAATTAAAAAGGAGGCTCCTGGTTTGAATCTAAAACTGGTTTCTAGCATTTAAAGCATTAAAGAAAACTATTTAATTGAGAACACAATAATAATAATAACAA